GTTTCTCTCTTTCTCTCTCTCTCTCTCTCTCTCTCTCTCTCTCTCTCTCTCTCTCCCCTTCCTCTCTAACATCAATAAATAAAAATTAAGAATAAATAAGAAAGTAAGAATGTTAAAGAATGCATAACTTATTTATAATTATGGCAAAATTGTTATTACTATAATTCCAAATATAATACTTTTGACATTATATAAACATATAGATTTCAAATGTATAGATTTCTGTGTGTGAAATTGTCTTCATCTATGTGTTTGCACTCATAAAGACATTCTCCTTTACATATTTTTGTATTCAAGACAGCTTTATGTTTAAAACCACAAAGAATTGGCCTTATTAAAAATAGTTATTGGAATGTGGTATTTATTCACAAAAATCTAAGTGACTTCTCTATACACGAGGACATTGGTACTTCAAAGAATTATAAAAGTCAAACTTTAAAGGAGAATTTTTAGAAAAAAAAAACACTAAGTAAAGTATCATTATGAAATTGTCTAATTCATTCTTCAAGCATCCAAGGAGATAAATGACATTAGGGAAACCAAATGTCTTCTTTTTGAAAATGTCAACCTCTTTGAAAAATGTCAGTGACAAATGGTGTATTTGGGGCTGTTTTTCATGTCAGCTTTCAATTCTAATGCACCTTTCGGTAACTCTCCTGAAAAACCTGTTGGTCTGTGTGTTTGTATGACAGGCACTGACTCAGCTCACTCTCCTTCTGAGGGTCTGCTTCTTTATCCTGACCTTGACCTCCATCGGATTTCTTCTGGATCAAAGGCAAGATGTGAAATTCTTTCTTTTTATATAATTTTATAATGTAGTTTTAAAAATACATGTGAAACTTTGTTATTCACCAAACATTTGTTATTGAAGAAATAAAGCTGAAACTGAAACAGGAACTTTAGGGGAATATAGGCAGGCTTAGGGAATTTTTAGAATTGGGGTCCATGGAAAAACACAGGGCTACAGACTGGGAGAAGGCACATTTCCATCACACAAGGAAGCCGGATGCAGCTACATTTCCATAAGACAAGGGAGCTGGAAGTAGCTAAGAAAGGTCTATATTTACAAAATAAAGGAGGAGGAAGAAAGCCCAGAAGGAATAGGAGAACAATGAAGGAGAAGGGCCTCAGGAGTTACTATAGTAACCAGTCTAAGGGAATAGTGACCAATCAGAGGGGATATCAAGGCACCAGGATCTGTAGCCTTTATAAGCCATAGGGAAAAGGAACTCAGTGGGACCCTCCCCCCTCCCCACGTGGGAGTCCAGTCTGTGGGACTCTTTCCCTCTCCACACGTGGGAGTCTGTACTTGTTCTTCAATAAATTTCTACCTTTGCTATGCCATTTTCTGTCCATGGATTCATTCTTCGATTCCAGCAGACAAAGAATCCAGGTTACAGTCCAAAAATTCCGTTTCAAAACTACAATTTCACCCTTGTATTTTCAATGAAACAGAGTAACAGTTTATCTGATTTTATGTCAAGGGTGCATTTTAAATCTAAGGCTTTTAAATGAAAATTGGGATTTTCAGTTTATTAAAGAAAATCTATGAATATAATGATTAATTTGGCAAAACATAGACTATAATTCTGAATACTTAATAAAATATAGAACACATTTGAGTATTTTTCCTTTGCCATTTGAATAGTTCTTAATATATGTCTGAATGTGTATATATTTAAAGTTTATATCCTTAACCCTCACACGGGATATTTTATTTAAGGAATCCTGTTTTAAATACTACACAGGCCATAAAATACATTCACTTGAACAATTTTAAATTGCTTTTTTGGCATGAGGTATATAAAAAAATACTTTTTTGTTATTGCTCGGTATTTATCAATCATTAATATTAATACTAATACCAACATTTAGGTAATTAACATATATAGTGGTTATTAATACTTATAACAATACTCAGATAATATTGATATAAAGCACATTTTATAAATTAAGAAAGTCAAACAGACAGTAAAATATTGAACAGAACACAAAGCCAAGCCATATGGTCCAGAATTCAGAAATTATAGAATTTACTTGGTGAAAAATTGCAAAAAAAGGTCTGTCATTCTTGAAATCTTATCTTTGTTGTGGTATTATTGTTTTCCAAATAGATAATCAATAATCATTAATTTCAAGTTCTGGAATAGCACAAGACTCTGGAGTTTCATCAAGATCCAATTCCAAATGAACTTCCGGTTAATGAAACTGTTTATAATATGCATTCCATAGAAACATTTGGTAGAGAACGATGCAGCTGGCACATTTCACATAGCCATATGTAAACAACGTGTAGAATTCTAAACCTTTTTCCTTCAATACTTTAAAAATGGTGTTTATTTTACCATTCATTTTGTTTGGCTCTCTATCCTACTTTTCTACACTAGAAGTCAAGTACATACTGAGCCATAAAACAGGAAAATGGAAAAAATGTGTCTCAAGTCTACCTGAAATACTTACTCAGATCCAAAAAATCTGAATCACATACTAAACATCACCATTCTATCATTTGAATGCACTTAATAAAATTGACAATCAGCCAATAGCAATTGTATAGCTTCATTTTTTTTATGAAGATTGGTTTTCTCTCTGGATACAGATACTAGACAAAATAAGAAAGCTGTCTACAATAATATCCAATTATTCTTCTTGTATATAATCACTTAAAAATCTAAACTGCCTCAGGCTTTATTCAGGAGCTCATACTAAGATACATTCTGAGAAATTTGTCATTATGCAATTTTGTGTTTGTGCCAACATTGTAGAATGTACTTAAGCAAACCTGAATGGTTTATTCTATTGCTGTAACTAGATGTGCTATACTTTTATACGACTGGCAGCATAGTAGGTTTGTTTACACCAGCATCATATCAAACATGTGAGTAATTAATGGTAGTGTAAGCCTACCAAAAAGACAGTTGGCTTTCCTTTTTGTATCAAAAGTGCTTGACATAAGCTTTGATTGCTGAAGCATCCACTTTAAAGAGATCCACTTCAAGGCAGGCTCTCTGGATAAAGTGGCCTCTCCCTACTGAGGCCCCTTTATTCCGGAGATCCTGGTTGATTTGAAAAACTGACCATTGGGCTATTTATTTTTTCTCTTCCCACACTTTAAATTCACCTAAAAAGAGTGAGCCCATGAAACCCTAGGCCCCACCTTGAACCCCTATAAAAGCAGAAGAACCCCAGGTCCCTCTTTCTCTCCCCCTCCCCCTCTCCCTCCTCTTCCCCCTTCTCCTCCCCTTCTCCCTCTCCCTCTCCCTTTCTCTCCCTCCATTCCTCCTTCCCTCCCTTTCTCTGTGTCTATCTCTTTCTCTCTGCCCCAAACCTCCTTATGTGCCTTATACACTCCAGGACCTGCATGTAAGTCAAAGGTTCCCAATGGTTATTGCTGAAGGGTGTTTTGCGATATAGTAATAATCACTAGGGTCCATTCTGTTGCAACACTGGTTTAGAAAGGGGAGATGTCCCTCGGAAGCTCACCAGGGACAGGTGAGTGCCTCCAGGCATTTCTAGCCTATAGCTTTACTTTTGATAAAGTAAGACCAGCACAAAACAGTAATGCATTGCACTACAACCTTATAAGGGCTAAGACTCACTAGGCAATAAGAATTTTTCGTCTCCTTTATAATTTTTTTTTTTAATTTTAGGGGATGTTTATTAAGACTGGGGACAATGAAACAATAAAGGGTTGGGGAAATAAGCCTAGGCTGGTCTGCTTTGGCTCAATAAGAAGTCAGAGAAAAGGGGATCTTAGGGGCAGGTTCAGGGGGTTGCCTTGGATGAACTGCCACTGACCATTGCTGCCCTGGTTGCAAGCCTCATTGGGTCCATTAGAATTCAGGAGATGCATGCCTGTGGGGAAAGAAAGGGGTGGGAGGCACAGGCATGCTCCTGGAAAGGAGAGGATACTCTGGACCTTCATTTTTTTTAGGGTTTTTTAAGGCTGGGCAATTAGAGTTGTTAGAGGAGGATCTCAATAAAATATTCATCAGCTTTATGCTGATGTATCAAAATGAGATTTATCCTCTTAACTTCATCTGTCCTTGGGTGTGGTTGGCAATTGGCACTAAGACAGTGGTTCTCAACCTTCCTAATGCTGCGACCCTTTGATACAGTTCCTCATGTTGTGGTGACCCCCAACCATAAAATTATTTTCATTGCTACTTCATAACTGTAATGTTGCTACTGTTATGAACCGTAATGTAAATATCGATATGAAGGATGTATTTAGGCGACCCCTGTGAAAGGGTCGTTCAACCCCCAAAGGGGTCGCGACCCACAGGTTGAGAACCGCTGCACTAAGAGGATTTCTGCTATCTGTCTCCCTGAGTAGGTTGATTTCAGCTATTTACCCTCTGGTTGGGGAGGAGAAGTGCAAACCATTTACCCTTAAGTGTCCCCGGCTTTATAGGACCACTATCCTACATGATGACTGAAATGTCATTACTGTATACATGACTGTATAAGCAACAGCATCAAGTATATCAAATATCAAGTAAATACAAGCCTAAAAAAATGAGTATGAAATCTCTTTATAAACATGGTTAAACTATTGAAATATTATGAAAAAATAAAGAGCTAAATAAATGGAGAGATAACTATATTCATAGATTGGAATGTTCAATATTGTAAAGATTACAATACCAAATTGATTTACTTTTTTCCATCCTTTTATCTTTAATTTAATTTATTGGGGTGACGTTGGTTAATAGATTCATGTAGGTTTCAAGCGTACATCTCTATAATACAAGATCTGTATATTACTCCATGTGTCAACCACCCAAAGTAAAACCATCTTCTGTCACCATATATTAGGCCATATATTACATTTCAATACAATCAGAATTAAAATTGTGAAAGGTTTCTTCCTAGAATTTGACAAGATCTTTCTAAAATATATGTAGATAGTTCAATAATAACCAACACAGTGTTGAGGTTAAAAAAAAACAGGAGTTGCATAACTCCCTATCAAGATTTATTATAAAGCCACAGTAATTAGACATGTTTTATTAGCACAAAGATTAGAACAGAAAACCTAGAAAGAGATCTATGCTTATATATATAGACTTGATTTGTGATAAAGGTGTCCCTGCAGAGCTGTGGGAAAAGGCTGGCTTTTCAGTAAATGGTCTTGGAAAAATTGGATTTCCACATAGGAATAAGAAAAATAAACTTGACAAATATTTCACACCATAAAAATTACTTCTGGGGTCAGGAGATTATGGGTTGAAAAGTGAGAGGAAAGCCAATACAGATTCCAGCAGGTAGCATAGTAATGTACGTCTATAACTTTGGAGTATGTAAAAATAGTAAATGGTACAAAAAGACCTAATTATGATGCATTAGATAGAATTGATTAACTAGATTATAATACTATTAAGAAAGTCAGTTTTTCAAAAATTAATTATCATTAAGACAGTAAAAAATAAAACCAAGTAGGAGATGCTATTGGCAAATTTTTTAAGTAGCAAAGATTTTACATCCCAAATGACTAAAATTAAAAGAATTAATAATACCAACTGTTAAAATGCTCACACACTGAAGAGAGGGGTTTATTTTGTGATGTTTAATTTGAAAAACTGAGAATTTTTCTAACATAATTTTAACATATATCTAGTATGTATGTGTGTATGTGTGTGTGTGTGTATATATATATGTCTATGTGTATATGTGTGTGTGTATATATATATATGTGTGTGTATGTATGTATATATATATATATCTTGTAATCCAGTAATTCAATCCTAGTTATGTATTAAAAAATACACCTAAACGCATGGAAGGGAATGTGCAGACAGCATTGTTTACAATAAACATATATTGTCAACACTAAATGTTCTTCACAAGGTGAATGGTTACATGCATTTTGTATACCCACACAAAGGAATACTATGCAGGAGTGAAAGAGTGAACCCCTGCTATTTGCAGCATCATAGGTCTGTCTCACACACAATACTGAGTGAAAGATGCCAGATACAAAAAGGTGCATACAGTATAATCCCATTTATGAAATGTAGGAAAGATATAAAATTATAGGCTAGTTTTTAGAAATTTATGCTAAAGTGGTAAAACATTTTTTTAAAAAAGAGCAAGAAAGGCTATGATTACCATAAAAGTCAGGGGATTGATTCTTGCTGAGAGAGAGGGAGGGTGAAAATATTGAGGAGGTAAGAGGTATCATTGGGGTGCTGATAATGGGTGGTGGTTACATGGTTGCTTATTTGTTGAAAATCACCCAGCGGCATATTTCTGTTTTTTATACTTCTCTATATGTATGTTTCATTTCACAATATAAAAGTTTAAAAGGTAAGATATATTAAAAACAACAAAAACTATGTGTTTTAAAATAGGAATCTTGTTTTTTTAAATTTAAAATTACCCATATATCATTAAAAATTATCATAATGAGTTACGACATTACAAGGAAAAAGCTTTCTTAATATTTTTTCCACAAAAAAACTTAATCACATTACTTGAATGAAAACAGATTATAAACTATTATCCTGTTTCTATTGAGTTTAAAAATGCGTTCTCTTTTTTGTACTAAAATGTTGTTATTATATTCAATTTTACAGAAACAATGGGTCATAAATTAATGACAATAGAAGAAAGTCTTAAGTTAAAAAATATACTTTAGGTTTCCTTTTTTTATATACCTCTATATTCTAAAATAAATATAGTTGCATTTTAATGACATTGATTCTCTAATATTTTAGTTAGAAAATTCACCTTCATAACAATACTATTTGTCTTTTACAAAAATACTAAAATTTCCAACAAGTGTTAGATAAATGTCATATCAAACTATTTTAAACTGATAAAGTATCTGTTTATTACCATCATTATGAGGCAGTGAATAAATGTTTATCTGCATGTGACATTCAACACTGTTCCAAATACATAAATACATGTATTTCATATATTTTAGATATCATATATACAGAAAATATTCATCATAATAATTAACAAGGATCTATAATGTTAGGTATAATTACACAAATTTCACATTCCCAATATTTCAGAACTCAACTTTTCTTTATTTTAGAGTACTTAACTATATCAGTCCTCCTACCAAGTCACTTTTTAATGAATGAAGTGTACAGGTAAAAGCATTGAGTGAGGGAAGTGTCATTTACTTTAAACCTTAGAAATTTAGTTGTTTACTATTTTATTCAATAGTTTAGAGTATGCTTCACCCTGATTCATCAATGCTCAAACTAAGCAATACATTGGTAAAGAACAGATTTTCTTTAAAAGATGCATTTTATTGCCCAGCCAATGTGGCTGAGTCGGTTGAGCATTGTCCCACGCACCAAGACGTTGCTGGTTTGATTCTGGGGTCAGGGCACATGTCCAGGGTTGTGGGCTTCATCCCCAGCAGGAGGCATTAAGGAGGCAGCCGATCCATGAATTCTCTCTCTTCATTAATGTTTCTATCTCCCTCTCCCTTCCTCTCTCTCAAATCGATAAACAGTTTTTTAAAAAGATGCATTTTATTTCTTCCTTTAATGCCTGTTTTCAAACAGCTTCAGAGGCACATGCTCCTCAAATATATGAAAGTGCAGCACAATTCTTTAAATTTAAAAGAAATGTATATCACTGTATTAATTATTGCATGTAAACATGTGAGGAGCATACTTAAAGCTAATGTCTGTTAATGACACTATTTCAGACCTAAGGCAGCTGTTGTGGAAGCTTCCCGTTGCTTGGTGTTTCTAATGCTGTGTCGATTTGGCCATCTGAAGCCTCTCATCCCTTTCTTGTCATTTGCTTTTGAGGTAAGACATTTGCTTTCGGTGCCTATAGCAGGATTATACATCTACTGCTTATTTCATTCATTTATTCAATAACGTTTTTGTCTATTTTGTGACTAGTACTTGTGGGAAATTTTTACCTGTTCATCTACTTACCAAAACTTATTGTGTCACTTTGAGCTAGTTAATAGTGTTAAGCCTCAGTTTTCTGGTCTCTAATTTGGGATTGACATGGCTAATCTCACACAATTGTTGGACAAGTTACATTGCATGATGTTTATAAAGAAATTGGGCCACCATACTTGGTTCTCAACAAATAGTAGAAGTTAATTACTAGAAGTTCTTGGCAAAGACTTTGCCACTTGAGATTTTTCTTTTTAGGGCGAAAATGAAAATTGTTGCATATTTTGTCAATTACCTATAATTCTACAGAATTATGATTACATAGTACAGGCTAAGGAGCAGGTGAAAATAAGCTATTTGGGGTTATTTATTTGAGGCTCCTCTTTAAAAAATTACTGTCCATTTCCTGTGATTCCTCTAAAAGTAAATACCTTCTATGAGCAAAAAAATACTTGGTAAACAAATTAAAGCAATATTAGAATATATTGCTGCTTTTTTTTGTTTTATAAAATGAGGAGACTAGTTCTATAGTCTCCTCATTATAAATTATCGCATTAAATTTCCTATAATTTATTGGCCCTGTGGGATTTTTCTACTATGAATGTGCACCCTAGAAAATATTAATCCATGATAGTTTTCTATATATCATGTTTTTTATTAAGATGGTTAAAAATTAAGAGACATAAATACATTTTTATTCTTGCCCATCCATCCCTTATTCCTTAGGCCCTTTTTTAAAAGTCCTCATGTGGACATCCACCAAGATTACTGTCCATTTCCTGTGATTCCTCTAAAAGTAAATACCTTCTATGAGCAAAAAAATACTTGGTAAACAAATTAAAGCAATATTAGAATATATTGCTGCTTTTTTTTGTTTTATAAAATGAGGAGACTAGTTCTATAGTCTCCTCATTATAAATTATCGCATTAAATTTCCTATAATTTATTGGCCCTGTGGGATTTTTCTACTATGAATGTGCACCCTAGAAAATATTAATCCATGATAGTTTTCTATATATCATGTTTTTTATTAAGATGGTTAAAAATTAAGAGACATAAATACATTTTTATTCTTGCCCATCCATCCCTTATTCCTTAGGCCCTTTTTTAAAAGTCCTCATGTGGACATCCACCAAGTGCTTTACCAAATACTTTAGGTTCAAAAAGATTTCCACCATCAAGCACTTTTCCCCCCATTTTAATATTATGTGTATTATGAGGAACACACATTCTATATATTTCTGATTAATTTATACTAACATTATCAAAACAGGTGTTTTTAGCAGAATTTTACATTAAAATTGAGTTTTTAAAGAAGCATTTTAAATGCATTTTTTAGTTTAGTTTACTTTGTCTTGTCTTTTTTTGCTTGCTTTACTTTTCTTGTTTGAAAGCAGGAAGTGATTCCTTGCCAAGAGTAGATTAACCAGAAGAGCAAACATGTTGAATTTAGTTCACCATTGCAAACTTTGAATTTTGAGTGAGTTGGAAAATGGATCCAATCTCTATTAATTATATTGTTTGGGTAAAAATAGAAAGTCAGGAATGTTAGCAGTCTAGTTTTCTGCATGGCCCATTTCTGTCCACTGAACCAGCTTCCATCCTGTTGACTCACATCCCCTCCATTTCTCATGGCTGTCCTTTCCCCTGACTTAGTTGTGGGTGTAATCGACCAGTGGCAGCCTGGTGAATTACGAGCAGGGGCTTAAGGTAAACATCATTTACTCCTAAGAAATTATTTCCACATCACCTAGTTTTTCTGCTTGGCATTCAAAAAAGAGAGGCCCTGCCCCTTTTTCTAATCACCTGTCCTGCATTTGAAATAACAAAGAGCCTCCTCCAGCCCGTGTGCCACGCGCTGTGCTATGATTTATGGCCTGAGCATCCGACACTCTCCGTGCACTAACAAGATGGCCTGCTGCGTTTGAAATATATCCCCCGAATGAAAGCAAACATGGCTTTGTGATATAAAGCCTTGTCAGCACTCGAGGAATTAAACACATACAAGACCTAAGTTTTTAGTTTTTCCTTTTTTGAGTTGCCTTTACGAATAGCTCAAATGGGTTACGATCCACGGGACAGTGTTTCATATATTTGAGGAGGACTCTAAGGGGAATCCTGACCCTGAGAAAAAGGTGCAGGGATATTTGGCAGAACGTCAAGGTGGTTTCCACTAGTACATGACAGGGACTCATTATGGGCTTGCTGTTGCCTGTAAGCTGGTTTCACTACCATCAACTACGAGGCCAGGATGCCTGGTTCCAGATGCTCTCGCCAATTGACCGTAAAATTGCTATGCATTTCTGGCCAAGCCCTGAGATTTTAAAAGCTCCCCTCCCCCTTTCCTCAACACCCTAACCCCCAATTCCCTCTAAAAAGCTGCTCATTATTCTTCCTTTGCCCCCTGATCTCAGCAAAAGAAATACTTCTGGAATCAATTAGAAATGTCTGCCCTTGATGAGGTTTGCACGTGAGTTTGGAGTTGTGAGGCTTTGATAGTGGCAGCCAACAGCTGCAGTTTCAGGTGGTAAAATCTACGAAGGAATTTTCCAAGGTTTATTTACCACCATAAAAAATTTAAAAATAGGCAAGACAACTAGGGAAACTGTCTTATATGCCTTTGAAAGTGAGGTCAAATTTGGATTATGTATTTGTTTTATTCACAGTGAGCAAATTGGAGATCTCTGTTTGGGGGAGTCTTTTCGTTGCTTTAATAGATTGTGTCAAATGGTTATAAATACTGGAAATGGGGGTCTCCTTTCCGAAGGTTAATGGGAAAAGAGAATCTGTTATTTCTTCTGTCATATTAACTGCTTGACAAGTAAAGATAGTCAAGGTTAATGGAAACTGTCTTCTGAAAAATAATGTGCATATTGTGTAATACACTGGCCTACTTTCTTTCTCTCTATCTATGTGTATGTTTAAGATATTAAATAAAAATTTACAATAGTTTTTCTTTTTAAATCTAGGTATTTGGTAACTTTTATTAATGCTTATTTAATATGATGCTATAAACCTTTTTATGTTTATGTGTCCAATTAACATCATTAGCAATTGTAGCATGAAAATGACATAATTTTCCTAAAGCCAAATTGAAAATTATAGTAAAAACCCAGGTATCCAAATTATCACTTGGCACTTTCAACCACATGGCCTTTCCTTTCCTCGAATATATGATACGCTTCTTAGAAGTCTGCTTTTGTTTCTACTGCTGGCTAAAAAATAGAGACAATTTCAAGCATACATTTTTATCACTAAAACTTTCACTCATAACTTTAAGAAATGCTATCAAACTCCCCCACCCCAAAGAATCACTATTAATAGAATTTTAGTTTTTAGAACTACCCCTTCTTTTATAATTAAACTAGAGGCCCAATGCATAAAAATTCGTGCAAGAGTAGGCCTTCCTTCCCCTGGCTGCTGTCACTACACTACAACCAGGACCCGGGCTACTTCCCTCTGGCCACCAGCAGGCACCCGGGACCCGGGCTCTTACCTCTAGCCCCCGCTTCATCTGGAAGAACATCCGGGATGATGTCCAGAAGGACATCTGGTCTAATTAGCATATTATCCTTTTATTATTATAGATGAATTTTTAAGCACCTGCTCCCCCTCCCCCCAAAGTATTACAGTTTTTACTTTTATAATGGTGGAGAGGTATTTTGTGTTTGGAAATATCTCTGTATTTAAAGGTGACAGAGGTAAGTTTAAATTTGCATTTTTATGTGCATTCTTTGTACATGTGTAGACATTTGCCCATTAATCACTCTGGTTCCTAGATTGAGGTTTATTAATTAGTGAACTGCATGAGTAAATAACCATTAGTAAGTGTACATAAAATATAGTACAATTTTATTATATTCATGGAATAACTGTAAGTAGGCTGAAAAATTCAGTTACTTAGAATACCTAATGTTCCCAGGCATGCCATAATGTGAAAAAGGTTAAAAAGTCATATTTTATCTAATGATTTCATACTATTAACAAAAAATAACAAGACTTAACAACTTTTAATAAGCATCTTTCAAAAATCATGCATTTATCCTTCATAAGCTCTGCATGTCACTGGTGAACCAAGCTTCCTTTAGAGTAAATCAAACAAACAAAAGCTATGTGTAACTTTTAACAACATTCTGGAAGTTACTTCGCTGTGATCAAATTGTTACAGAAAGGAAAAGCTAGCTAATTTGTTCATTCCTTTTCTCTGAGGTGAAACATGGCAGGTGCCAGCTTTTCCTAGGCAAATGTTCAGATGGATGAGCAAAATTGGCTGTTTGGTATTGAACCCATTGACAGTTGAAACCTTCTCTCCAGGGAGGAAGTGGAGATCTACTCTCTGACTCTCAAATATTAGGCATCCTGTTAGGTCTCAAGGGAGACTGCCAGCTCACTCATCACCATTTGGACATGTAATCTCAGGGAAAAGCATGCACCTGCTGGAAAGTTGCTGCCTGACACACTCACTTGCCACTCCTAAGTTTTTACTCTCTGACTCTCAAATATTAGTTGTCCTGTTAGGTCTCGAGGGAGACTGCCAGCTCACTAATCACCATTTGGACATGTAATCTCAGAGAAAAGCATGCACCGCTGGAAGGTTGCTGCCTGACACACTCACTTGCCACTCCTAAGTTTGCTGTTTAACGGGTGTCATCCTCTCTGCATGCCTATATAGTAGGTCCAGGGGAATTGGCTGCTACAGATTAAAAGCTAATAGAAAATTTTCCACACAGCTTATGTTGTCATTTATACTATTTCTACCAAGGGTTTCAATCTCATTTACAGCACAAGAAGGTAATACCTCTCTTAAATTTTGTTTGTTTATGACAATGTCTGACACTGGCTTGGCCTAGCTTTATACATGTATTTAAATTACTTGTGACGAGATGGAGAAAAAATTGGAT